AGCAGATTTGCCTAATGCAATACGTCGTTTGATTTCTTGACTGCTGCTTCCATGAGTGCTGATAGTTGATCCAAGAAGAGAGAAGTCCTTGGCAATTTCAATCTTTTCTCTGTTGATAAGAATGCTGTTTATTGGTCCAGTGTTGAGGATTTTTGTTTTCTTTACATTGAGATGCAATCCATTCCGAAGGCTGTGCTCTTTGATTTTCATCAGTAAATGTTTAAAGTCCTCTTCACTTTTAGCAAACAAGGTTGTATCTTCATATCGCAGGCTGTTGATGCGCCTTCTTCCAATCCTGATGCCATGTTTTTCTTTATAGAACCCAAATTCTCAGATTATTTGCTCAGCATACGGGTTGAATAAGTATGGTGAAATAATACAACGCTGTTGCACAGCTTTCTTAATTTTAAACCATTCAGTGTTCCCACATTCTGTTCGAACATCTGCCTCTTGGTCCAGGTACAGATTCCTCATGAGCACAATTAAGTGTTACAGATAACTTATCAATGTTGTCCATAGCTTGTCATGATCCACACAATCGAAAGCCTTGGCGTAGTCAATAAAGCACAGGTAAACATCTTTCTGATATTCTCTGCTTTCTGACAAGATCCATCGGATCACCAATGATATCTCTCGTTCCACAGCCTCTTCTTAATCCGGCTTGAACCTCTGTAAATTCTCTGTCAATGTATGATAGAAGCCGTTTCTGTATTACCTTTAGCAAAACTTTACTCACATGGGATATCAAAGAGTTTGTCTGATGATTTCTGAATTCTGTTGTTTATCTCTCTTTGGAATGGGAACAAATATGGATTTCTTCCAATTAGTTGGCTAGATAGTTGTCTTCCAAATTTCTTGGTAGAGATGAGTGAATGCCTCCTGTGCCGCCTCACTTTCTTGAAAGATTTCAGTTTTTATTTCCATCAATTCCTGGTGCCTTGTTCTTTGCTGATTCCTTCAATACACCTTGGACTTCCACCTTCAGTATCATTGGCTCTTGATCATATGCTACCTCTTGAAATGGTTGAACAGT